ATGAGGGGCAGCGACATCCCTAGCATCTCCGCGGTCAGCGGCGTCCAGCAGGAAGGAGACGGCGATCCTGCATATTAGAAATGGAGCAGCACCTTATCTGTCTGAGGGCAGCACTCTGCATCCTCAGCCGGTCACTGAACCGTGTCCTCAGCGAGGTCTACGGCGGGAATCGTCTGCCCCCCTTGAGCGGCCAGCAACGCCAGCCTCCAGCGAGCTCTCAGCAGCCCTCTGTTGTCCCCCCTTTGCTTCATCTTCCAGCAGCTCCAGGTCTTCCGGCTTCGAGAAAGTCTCAAACTTTCTATAGTTTCACTTGCTGCGCTTCCTAGTGAAGGTGTCTCATGGTCACTTATAAAACACACCAAGTCCCGGGTGATCGTGGGAGACAGACTATGGGCTATGTTCCTAATTCACGCGCCTCCCTGCAACCCAAAGCCAGCCCGCGTGAAGGCCGGCAGGCAGAGCCCTATCAGCCCTAAGAGGGGCACCTGGGAGCGATGCATCATTGCAAACCATGCCAGCCTCGAGGAAGCCGGAAGAAACCTGGTTTCATTTCTTTTTCATCCTGAGCGGAACACAAGGAACGAGGTCTAGTGAGAATTTGAGTCAAGGAAGTCGAAATCGCACAAATTCTGCTGCAAGTGGGAACATGCTGCAGTCACCGGTAAGATAAACGCAGGGAAGGTTCTGTCCCTGCTCTGCAGTCACTGTGAATAAGAAAGTCTAATTCTAAATCTGCAAAACTTGGGCCTCCTGGTGGCACAAGGGGTTAAGCACACCACGGTGGAGCAGTCCGCAGCCTCTAGCACAAGTTCGATCCCTGGCCAGGGAGGGAGCTACCCACACGGTGCAGCAGACCTCTCCTATCTCCCCGCTGCTCCCCTCAGCAGTGTACTTCAGTCAATCTGCCTGTTCTGTTCCCCGCTCTGGTGAATCCTCTCACCCCCCACACCTCTGTCGGGTACCCCAGGCCTTGTATGCATAAATAAATAAATCTTTAAAAAAAAAATTTGCGAAACTTACTCTTAGCCCTGCCCTTTTTCTCACCCATTGCACATGCCTTTCTCAAGTGAGGTTAGAGCAGCTAGTAACCGAGCTTTCCTCATGGTGAAATGGGCCTCAGTCAAACCCACGAGGTCACTTCCTACCAGGCCACTCCCGTGCCTAACATCCTGGCCCGGGGTGATCTGTGCGCACAAGTCCTTAGCACAGACCAGCCCGAGCGCAGAAGGACCCAGAGACAGACATTCCTGGGAGCAGCCAGAGAGGACTCCAGACCACTACCCCGAGGCCTCAGACCACGCCGCACGCCCCATAGAGCGAAACTCTGAACCATTCAGCTCCTGAGAGCTCCAGGTGCCACAGCACAGAGGAGCTGCCCGTGAAGTCGACGCTTCCAGCACGACCTGAGATCTTAAATGGAGACTTAGTGTTTGCTTCCTTGGGGGAGATTATGAAGCACTCTGGATGCGCCCGCACAGCAGCTGCGTTGTTCTTATCTTAAATGGCATCCCGCCATCTGGCGCTCCATCTCGAGGGCAGAGCTCGAATGCCGGCCCTCCCCGATCAGGGTCACCACGGACACGCCAGCAGCACCCGCTGCCCTGGGCAGTCACGGGCCCAGACGTCCAGTCTTGATTTACTCGGCCAGGTACCGAAGCCAAAGGCTCGGTCTGTGATTACATCTCAGCAGCCGCGCACTGAGGGGCCTTTCAGACACCAGGCTGACGAGCATGCAGATATTTAGGAGGCTGCAGAGGATGATTTTGCCAATTCCTAAGCCACGGGTGCTGCAACTGCCTGTCCAGTTGCGCCGCTAAAACGTAAATACAGACTCCAGAAGATTCTGTGTCTCCCAAGGAGGCAGGGAAGTCACCGATGCGAGCAGGAGGCAGCAGGGCAGGGTTGCCTGGCACACAGGATGCCGAGTGACAGGTGACAAAGGCGCCGAGGCCGTGGCAGCAGAGGTGGGGCGTGTCCATGCAGTCTCTCGAGGATGAGTGTTCTGTCACTGAGGCCCGCTCTTCCAGAAGTTCCCAGCAACTCCCCACGGAGCTCGGTGTCAACGGACACCTTACTTCAGTTGTGAGCCCTCTGAAGGCAAAGAAAGCTAAGTAGGAGCATTTTGACTTTTGTACAAAAAAGCTAAGTAATGAATCTCATGGGCATGGCGAGGACACGGGGCTCTAGAAGAAAAACCACCTCAGGGAAATGAGAGGCACACTCCAGGCAGCGGGGAGGCTGGGGTGTGAGCTCCGAGATTCCGCATCTTCCCCTTCCCAGCTGGAGCCTCTGGGCGAGCCCCCAGGCCTGTGTGCTCAGGCCCCCACCCTGTGGGGAGCATGAGGACAGTACAGCTCAGCACGGCGGGGTCACCACACGGCGTCACGTGTCCTCATGGCTGTGCCGGGCACGTGGGCGCCTGCCAACCACGAGCTCGTCCTCAGCCCGGGAGGCGAACTCAGGTCACAAAGAGCACACGGAATGATAAAAGGAAACGAACCCTCATCCCAATGCAAAATGTTCGACACCTGACGGCCGCCAAGCAGATGTCTGGGGATAGTTTCAGTTTTCCTGAGCAGGCTGCATGGAGCCGACGTGTCCTCGAACACCCAACTGGCTCAGCTTACCACTATGTCTATTCAAGGAAGAGGGGCATCTGGAGGCAGGGGGTACGGGGAGGAGAGTCATGATTACCACTGCCCCAACTTCCGCGGTGTCGAAGATGCCTCCCCCGTGTCTGCTGCCGCCTTCAGAATGTGTCGCTGCCACCAGGCTGCAGATTTGCTGGAGCTTCCAAGTTGGAATCTCTGCAAATGAAGTGCCCTTATTGGGGAGCAACACACAGCCACACACATGCATGTGCACACACGTGCCCATGGCGCAGCTGCCACACAGACAGGAACACAAAGATTCACACCCAAGGGCTTCCTGCCCCACAACGTGTCGGGTGGAGACGAACAGCAGAACACGGCAGACCCGCCACTCCAGACTGCAGTGCCCAGATCACGTGCCCAGACGTCGGTCCTCGAGGTCCCCATCACATCCCTTGCTAAGGTGACACAGCACCCTGGTTTCTCCCACTTAGGGTTTTATTCTCCCCCAAGCAGGACTCTACTCCCTGCGATCGGATGCCAAGGCTCGGCTCCAAGAAGCCGCGCCCAGCTGCATCTGTGTGCAGGCTGGGCCCTGCGGAGTACAGGGGACCGGGGCACCGGCCAGGCTGGCTGCACTGTCCTGCGGGGGACACACGGGTCCAGCCAGCAGGGGCTAAGCCAGCTGCTGAGCCCAGAAACAACAGACCATCCTGGGAGCAGCTGGAGAAGCCTGAGCGCAGTCTCCCTGCCATGAGCCTCAGCCTCGGGTTTTACCAGGTGCCGGTGCGGGCCAGGCTGCTGGGAGGGCTGGCGCAGGGGGTGGGCGGAGAGGTAGGAAGGGGAAGGAGCAGACAACGTGGGCACGGAAGCAGGTCTGAGCATCACAGGGACAGAGCACAGCACGTGAGCGTGTCCACACCGGGATAGCCCAGGGGACAGGGGACAGGCGTGTGGGGCGAGCGGAGCACTGAGGCGCAGTGTCGGCTAAACCCTCACGAGACCACCACGGTCCAGGGCCAGCGCTCCCTGCGGCCCCATGCAGGGACACCCCGGAGGGCAGGGGCTAGGCGCCGACTGCCGCGGATCCGCCCCCCGAGAGGACAGGAGGCACCAAAAGAGACGAGGCGTTGCGGGGGAGGGTGAACTTCCAAACCACAGCGAGGCCGGAGCTCCCCAGCAAGGGCGGGAGTGGACAGTCATGGTGCCACACATGGGCCAGGGGGCCGTGGGGAGCCCCGACATCGCTGGCAGGGGACTCCTGGGCAGAGGCTGTCAGTTTCATACAAAAATGAAGCGCAATTACCGCACCACCCAGCCCAGCCCCTGCACCCCGCGCGCTCCGGCCAGAGGAGTCAAGATACAGTCTCACCAAACCCCTATACAAACGCGGGGAGCAGCTTCCTAGCGACGGCCCCACGGATGCTGCGACAGGACAGCGGGCCAGCCAGCCGGGGCCCATCCAGGCCGTGAGGCAGTGGGGAGACGAGGGCCGTGACGCTGTGCACCCCAACAGCCTCCAGGGGCGCCGACGGCGCGAGAAGAGGCAGCCCCAAGGCTGCATGTAATGAGACCATTTTCATAACTGCTTTCTCATGACACGATTTCAGAAACGGAGAACAAGTGGGGGGGGTGGAGGGTGAGGGGGTGCAGGGGGTATAATAAACAGGCAGCAAAGGGCCCCGGGGAACACTCGCGGCCGCACAGAACTCCACCCGGACACCGACGCGAGCCGGAGGGTCTGCAGAGCCGCGGTGAGCCGCGTCCATCCCAGGTCCCCGCTTCTGATACATCAGTTTTGCAAACTATTAGCAGCGTGGGGAGCGGGGTGCCTGCAAGCTCCCCCCCTACCCCTCCCTACAGTGGCCGCACCTACGAATCTCCATCCACAAAGACGGCAATAACAAAGAAGGGGAAACACCAGGCCCACGACATTTCATCTGGAAACCCCGCGTGCTGGAGGACCTGACGATCAGCGCGTGCTGACGGAAATTAAAAAAACCCCGGGCTGGAAAGGGAGCCTGCCCTCACCGGGGGACAACAAGACGCAGGTTTAATATTTAATAAATAGGAGGAAAATGCTCCTGATTTTTTTTTTAATCTGAAACGTGGGAAAGGCCTACAACTCAAATCCCAGCCCGGAGCGGAGACGTGCTTTGGCTAATGGAAACGCGCCGATGAAATTAAGTGGGCAAAGGCTGGCAGCAGGAGCTGTGCCCTCGACAGGGGCGGAGGGGGCTCAGGCTGAGGCTGGGTCTTCACCGCGGGTGGGGGTGGTGCGCGGGTGCTCAGCGCCAGAGCCCAGTCTCCAGTCACCGCGGTGCCCGGGAGGGGCTCTGTGGAGGGGCTCGGGGCACCCGGGCGACGCCGGGGCGTGGGGCCTGAGGGGGCGGCCCTCCCCGTACTTACTTATTCTGCATCATGTTCATGATCACCCAGTCGAAGGGGTAGACGTTCTTCCCGATGAGGTTCTTAAACATGATGAAGGTTTCCATCAGGAAATCCTGAAATCGAAAGCAAAACGCTGAACAGCCCCGCAGAGAACAGGTGAAGCCTGGAGTAATCCATCCCCAGCGACCTCGTTGTTTTTAGGTAAATGAAGACATTCTAGAAAGTGATGGAGGCATCACACAGGTACGCACAGTGGCTCTGTCTTTCTGTTTACCTGAGTCCCTCTGGTCTGGGCTGACTGTCCCAAGGGTCTATTCAGAACGAGCCGAGGGCCTGTCTCTGGAACCCGCAAAGAGAGACACTCCCCAAAGGCTACAGATATGTAATCAAACTCTTTCTGCTTGTAGGGAAACAAGCACACACACACACCCCCTGCATGTTGTAGCTTTATGTTCTAGTTCCCCTAGCTCTGGTTTCTGGATAAACAGCTCATCAGACTGATGTGGGATCTTATTCATTCCTTTTTCTTAAGGAATGTAACTAAGAAAAGGCTCAAGCAGGAACTCCTGACCTATTTGCACCTATTCAGGTCACCGGAACCACTGAAGTATGAGGCCGAGCCACTAAATGCTGCTACATCCCCACCAGCAGCTCCTGACGCCGCCAGGTGGCCCTTGCAGCCGCTGCCCCTCCACTTGCATGTGAGAACAGGCCCTGGCCTCTGGAGTGGCCCCCAGGAAGGGTTGCAGGCCTTGCCTGCAGGATTAAGGAGAATTTCCAGAATCTGACAGCTCGACTCTGTTCTAAGCCAGCAGGGAGAGATGGTTGCCTCCCGGAACGTGACGTGACCCCAGCAGTCCACACACTCCCTCCAGGTAAGGACGGACGGGGGAAGGCAAGTGAGAATTCATGGGGAGAAGAGGCCATGGTCAGAGACTGCCAAATGAGTGGTGATTTCTCATTTATTTAATCTACTGAATCATAATTAAGTGCAATGGCTGTGAAGACCGAGGAGGTGAGGGGAATTTAAGCAGCCCAGAAGCCACTGCAGCACAAAGTTCTAATCAAGTACTTCCCGCAAAGAAGTACACCCCAAATTCAAGAGCAATGAAAAGCGGGTGTTCATACGTTGTTCTCTGCGACCTTAATTGCCACGTTGGGTCCTGAAAGTCCTGGCTGTGGCGTGAGGGGCTTGGCAAGACCCCCACCTTGAATAATCCCCAAGGGCTTGGTTAGGAACCTGAACACAGCTGAGAGTGAAGGGTCAATTCAATGTCCCCCAAACGGCTCACCTGACTCTGACCCCAGGCCTGTGAGCAGGCACGTTCAGGGACCCCTGCCATGGCCCCCTGCTCCTCTCCCGGTTTAATTAGTCGCATCTCTATTTGAGCGCAGTGGCTGGCTTTCTCCTGATCACTCCTGGAAGTCTAACAACTGAGAATCAGGGTCTGCTTGCTGTTATTCTGGAGGAGAAGCGTATTTTTCCAAGCCCCCCGCCTCCCCCCTCCAGGAAACAGCCTCATACTTCATTCGTGGCTGGGCGGTGAGAGTCTCGTACTCTGCTGGTCACACAAAACACCACATGTGGGCGGTGAGGTTGCCAGGCTCCCACGTCGGGCTGCACAACTTACTGGCCACGAGGTAGTCCCGCCACACACAGAGGGAAGGGCTGTGGGAGCACGTGGCCAGCATGGAGGTGAAAGCTGCCGGCAGCCCTGGGCTCTGTCTGCCTCCCACGGCCGCGTATCCTGCAGCCCACGACCTGCTGCCAGCCTGCAACATGTGCCAGGGAAGCACTGGAGGGGACACTCGCTCCACAGTCATAAGAGCCATGAGTGGGGACCGGGCACGTGGCCGGCCTGCGCTCTGCCCCAGATGGTCCAGAGTTCCCATCACCATCCACCTTACTACAGAGACTGAGGAAGTTCCAACACGGTCCCTTCTGGCTCACCACCCTGGGGGAGCGATGCTATCTCGAGAGAAGTCTGAGTGGACGGTGTTCATTGACTGTCTTTGCAAGCCCAAACTTGCCACCTGAGCGGAGTTCTAGCCTCTCAGTGTCGGGGGCCGAGGGGCCCCCTGAAATACTGCACGAGCACCAGCTCTGTGGAATGCGACGTTGTACTGATGGCAAGGACGATTTTCTATGGCAGTGACCCAACCGACCAAAGAAAGGCTAAAGTTGAAAACTTGAAGTAGCACTTCCGCCAAGGAAGGAGCTGAGCAGATGGTCTGGGCTGTTTTCACGTGGCTCCTCATTAACTTCCAACTATTTAATAGAAAACGGTCTTACTGGCGTGGCAGTCGTCAGAGAAGGAAAATCGTCAAATACTCTCGATGAATAGCAAATGGGTAGGAAGACCTTTTGCAAAGTTCTGACAGATCAGCATCAATAAAAAAGGTTTACAACTGGCGCAGTAGAAATTCGTGATATCCGAACCCAAGCCACACATACCATTTTATAACAAAATCAAATCGGCAGCAAGTAATTGATTTTCGGAACTGCTGTGCCTACGAGAACGCCCGTGGGAAATCAGGACCACAACCAACACGTATTAAGTATCTGATCCGCTCGCTGTGCAGGGAGAAGGGCGCACACTTGGATCGCAGCAAATCATCGTCATTTTTAAGCACTATTTTCTGTAATCACTTTTCACAGTATAAGGAAACGTCCCTACCGACAGCACCTCTTAAATATTCAGATTCAATATTTCTAAAAGTTTGTGTGGATGGTGACTATTGAGTGACTGTTCTGAGCAAGAACGAATGATGAATTGGGTCCTACGATCGGGAAGGATATTGCTTCTCATTATGGAAACTTTATCACTCAGCCTGGGATAGTGTGTGTGAAATTGTTCCTGTAGAATCTGCCACAACTATCCTTTTCGCTGATCAAAAAGGAGTGAGGGAAGATTCAAGGGTGACATTAAATGTTCCACATAGCAAATTTGATTTCATTATAGCGTGACTGAGAAAGAATCACAGGCTATAAACGTGACACATGGTACCTGTAGGATTATACTCCTACTTTAAACCACTCATTAATGTAAGCAGCAAAGCATCCAGACACACAAACACGTTCTTGCTCCTTCATTTTTATTTAAGGAAAATGCCTAGGATGTTAAGCTATAGGTCCATTTTGGTTTTGCTTAGACATTTAGATCATACACATAGACACCCACCTTCATACGTGCGTGTGTGTGTGTGTGTGTGTGTGTGTGTGTGTGTGTAGTGGCAGCAACGACTAAGGAATTTTTTGGTAGAAATAATCCTTTGGGGGCCTCCCTGGTGGCACAAGGGGTTAAGATGCAACCTATGAAGCTCGCTGCAGCTACTGCAGCACAAGTTTGATTCCCAGCCAGGGAGCTACCCACAGGGCGCAGCAGACCTCTCCTGACTCGCCTGCTGCTCCCCTCAGCAGTGTGTTTCAGTCAGTCTGCATGTTCTGTTCCCCTCTGTCTCTGGTGGATTCTCTCACCCCCCACATCTCTGGCCTGTACCCCAGTTCTTGTATGTATAAATAAATAAATCTTTTTTTTTTTTTTTCTTTTTTAAAGAAAGAACCCTTTGCAAAAATTACCCAATGCACTCTGGTCTTCCCAGCCACTACTGGGTGAGATGCAGCCTAGCATGTTCTGGAAACAGTAGCGGCATTTGCTGTGTTCACCAAGAATCTAAGGATCCAGGAACAGAACCCCACCACAGACACCAGGGTTCAGGGCGACATCTAAAGGGGAACCTCCCAGCCAGTGTGCCTGCGGCTGTGTGGGGGCCTTGGCCACATGGCCATGGGATTCCTGAGGGAGAAAGCCCACGTGACGAATCCCCTCCACCCTCCCAGTTCAGCGGTCTCCTGGCCTCACTGAGGGTGGCTAGAGAGCGATCTGGTGAGCTTCCGTGACTAGTGTTAATTAGCAACAAACTATAATTTAAGGCCGAGAAGGCTCCCTGGCGGCTGCCATCGAGAAGCCAAGCAGGAAAAGGACAGGAGTTTGTGGTCAACTATCCACAGTGATGTCTGCAGATTCCCAATGATCCCAAGTCACAGGAGATGAAACTGTGGCCAGGAAAGAAGAGAGACTTGTCTGGGCCGAGACTGGACACCTGGCAGTGTCCAGGTCCACATGAGTGCACGACTGGGGTAGGACTCACCAGGGTAGGGCCCTTGTCACCCGGCAGACCCGCCCGGTGGCTTCGGAACCATCCGGAAGATGATGCAGAATCCTACTTAGGTGGAAACGCTGACCCGGGCTCTGCCTGAAAGGCCGCTCCCCACACACAGCCCGGGGAAGGGTCAAAGGCACACTCACCACGACGTCGGTCCTCATTTTCCCAAAGGTCTTGATCAAATGGGCATAATGATAGTCCTCCATTTGCCGTAAAATCGCTGTCATACACGCCACGAAGTTCCCCTGAAATGGACGAGAGGCTTCGGTTAGACGGGAGAGCACGGCTCGCATGGGAGATCTCAAGTCCACTACGAGTCTGAGATGGGGGCCCACTGGGTCGAAGAATCCCGGGGCCCTGCCCCCTGGCCGGCAACCCCCTGAGCCACCAGCCACTCCAGCCTCGGGGGCGTTTTGTCGCAGTCACTGTGCCTCCTCCCCCCGCTGCACCCGATGCTCCTCACGTGTAGGTGACCGGCTGGAGGATCCAGCCTCGGAGACTGCATTAAATAATGCAAAATCAAGGCCAGGACTGAAGTCGTGGCCTCCGAGGACTGTGCTGTCCTTTCTAGCAGGAAAATGTGTGTGCTTCCCCGAGCCCTGGCAGAGACAGGCCTTTCGTGTCTCAAAAATCTGCCTGGATCCTCCTCGGCCAATTTGGAGGCGATTAGCACCGACTCCACCACGAGTGACCGCCCAGCTTGCCTCCCCGAGAAGGACGGGCAGAGACGGGCAGGCTCAGCAGCAGGGAAGTGGGAGACCTGGGACTTCCTCACGCCAGGCAGAGCCGGGAGGAGCTGTGGACAGAGGACTGAGAAGCCAGCAAGCAAAACCAAGACGCGGAGAAAGGAGGGTGAAGGGGCTGGCGAGTGGGGGTGCCCGGCCTGCTGGGGCTGGGCTGGGGGCGCGTGCGTGTGTGCTGGGCTTGTGCGGACACACCGAAGGGGACCTGGTGTGCGAAGAGCAGCCTCATTACCACGAAATGCAATTTATCACTTTTGGGGTCCGTGGCTAACAACATTATAAAAGCCTTTCTTGCTTTTAAATACTTCCCCCTAAATGAATGGCATTTTAAGAAACACAGGACATACATTTTCTGCCATTAAATCAGTGCAAGTCGGGCAGAATTACAGGATGAGACCTACTTTCAGGCATGTCCTTAATTTTACCCCATTAAGTGAGTTCCCAAATTGCATTCTTTTACTAAGTCTACTTTTAAAAGCAATATATTCAAATGACTAAATGTCCTTTCTATTAATTTGGAAAGTGCACTCCAGAGGGAGCGGTGGAGGCCAGTTGTTTTATCCCAGTCCATTTTCTCTCTATCGGATCCACGTAGGCTTCAAATGAGTCCTCAAAGCACGCATTATGCCAACCGAGCAAATATAATAATGATGACACGGTATCTCCCATTCGCCCAGAAATGTAAATTATTCATGAATGATGTTAATTGCAGAGATTGAGGTTGCAAGTTGGTGTTGAAGGAAACGCATGCTTTCCACTGAAGGCGGCGTGCAAAGTGGCAGAGTGTGCACGGGCGGATACGTGGGACCACGTGCAAGAACCCAGATCCCGTCGAGCTCCAGAGAAGCGCATTTGTGGCTTCCTGGCCCTTAGTCAGATGTCCATTTTTGGAAAACGGTCGTCACGCGAGCCTGTGCTAACCAGAGAAATGGGCCAGGTGCGTGGGGGTCCTGAGAACCCCGGCCCCACCCAACCCCAACCTCTCCTCGCCCCGTCTCACAGGAGGGAAACTGAGGCTGGAAGGAAGCCTGACTGAAGGTGTGGATGGTGGTGAATCTGCACTGCGGGTGACTTGGCCGGTGCTTAGGGGCTGAGCTCACGTCTTTCCTCTCATCCAGCTGCACGTTTCCATTCTTCTGAGAAATCTGAGGTCACCACTGACCGTCAGGCCACAGCCCTCCCCCACCCCTGCACTGTGGTCATCACAGAAAGTAGGGGGAGGACGAGCAGGACCACTGTCTCCGTGGCCATGGCCCTACTCTCTGGCCTGGAGGAGGCACCTGTGAGCAGGTCTCCTGGCCTGCCAAGGACTCTTCCAGAGCCAGGAGAGCCCGCAGCCGCCCGGGCGCACCTGGCAGACGCTCACGTTCATTTCTTGCAGGTCAAAAGAGTTAACGGACAGTGAGACATCGGAATCGCCAAGCCCCAAGGCCAGCTGTGCATAAGGAGAAGCAACAGCCCTACGTGCTTGTCTTAAAATATCAGGTTGCAGGTGGAAAGAAAGGCCCGACCCCAGCGCAGCGTGGGGCCCACAGAGGGCAGGGGTCACGCTAATGAGAAAAGCCGGCGCATCTGGGGTCTCGCTGGTCACTCCAACAGGTGACACAGTCAATTTCGGGAGCAGACTGCCATGTAATGTTGAAAAATTTATGCCAGGCAGAAGCTGGGGGAACTGATGCAATGCAGAAAATGAAAAACTGAAGGAAGCAATTTCCATACAGCCAGTCCTGGGAATATGTAAGTGGCCAGCCGGGAATGTGGTCTTCCTGGGCCTGCACAGGCAGCCACGTGGGCTGTTACTCCACAATGGTGGGGTGCTGGCTGGGTCAGGCCTGGCCCAGGGATGGAAGCGGGTCGTCAGCCTGAGTTACAGGTCACAAGCCAGCTGGCGTGAAAACACTCTTTATTTAACCCAAGGGACCTTCCAGACATAAGAGGTGCCGATCAGCATCCTTAAGAGGGAACAGATTTGCAATTTCAGCTCTTGCTCAGCTGAGGGTTGGGACTCTCACTAGGAAGGGGTCAGTGTGCCTGATAAAGTCCCACCCTCCCCCTTTGGGATGGGGTCCTGCCCACAGGGGCCAGTGTTTTCATGGAGCGAGTGCTGCAGACAGGATGAAGTTTGAAGGTTCCCAAGAATCCAGCAGAAGCCTGTCCAGAGGCTGCTGAGGGGGGATAAAAGTGGTATTTAGGGAAGCTGGATTTGAAACCAGTCTCACAGCAGAAACAAATGTTTCTGTGAAAAGAAACTTCTTTTTGCAGGCTTAGAAGGAAATTACTATTCCATGCTTTTTAACTGACTCATTTGAAATGCACTTAGAAGTCGGAGGAAGCTTTTGTTTGAAACAACTAGGTGGGTTGGCAGAGACACAGGTGGGGTGCTGGAGCCCTCCTCCTGGCACGCAAGCCGGGGATCCCAGGCCAGCCCCAGGGGCTGACTAAAGGAAAACAGCACATAAAATAAGACTTGCTCCTTGTGACTCCAAAGCAATGCAAAACAGGGGCAGAGAAGCCAGGGCACGGTCGCAGAAAATTTTAAAATCAGGACAGAGGATGCTTAATAAACAAAAATTGTGAACTTCATTAGTAATCAAAGATGAAAATGATGTATCATTATTTGCCTGCCAAAATAGCAAAGAAGGCTTTAAGTGATGATAATGTTAGCAAGGTGCGGGGCTGAGCACTCTGCACTGCTGGTGGGAGCATAAATTGCTATAACCTTTTTAAAAAGCGATTTGGCAATAGGTTTGAAAAGTCTTGGGGAAAAATACTCATCTCCTTGGCAATTCTAACAATCCACCTAAGGAAGTAATTCAAAATAGGAAATTTTAAGCCCCAAATGCCCATTGCCTCTAAAAGTTCAAAGGCAAGAAGCCACAAAGGGGACACATATTGTTAGGATTGCAATAGAAAAGGCAGGATGCCCAGTCCAGTTGTACTCTCAGATAAACAAAGGACAAGAGAGTGCCCCGCACCCCGCATTGGAAATCTTGCATGGGACAGTCATGACCTAGGGCAATTATCTGGATCTTATCTGAAGGTCAAATCGAACAGGGGCACCTGAATTCTACTTTTTCTAAATCAGGCAACCAGGGGTCTCCCTGGTGGTGCAGGGGTTAAAGACAGCACTATCAAGCCCCTGCCGGCAAAGGAAGTGACCCACAGGGCGCAGCAGACCTCTCCTGTCTCACCCTGCTCCCCTCAGCAGTGGATTTCAGTCAGTCTGCCTGTTCTGCTCCCTGCTCTGTCTCTGGTGAATCCTCTCACTCCCAGAGCTCTGGTCTACACCCCAGTTCTTGTAAATGAATCTTTTAAAACAAAAAGAAAAAAGAAAAGAGAAAAACAAGGGGCCCAGAAAGATCACACAGGAATCTCTCAAATGTCACTGCTGGCCCAAAGATTTCTCCAGAGTATCCACAGATGTTTGTGAAAACACACCTAGCAGAGCTTCCACAAAGCAAATTAAAACCAATTCAAAACATCCATTCATCTCTGTATCCGCACATGAAACTAGCAGTAAAGAAGGAGCTTAAAAAGCCCCAGGTCTACGAGGCTGAACAGGATGAGACACGGCTAAAGACAGAAGGTTTCCAGCAGCTGACAGCAGAGCAGGGGCATGACCAGAGGCCGTGGAGGCAAGAAGAGGTGATTACCCACCACGGACCCTGCTGACTGCGGGCACAGGAGACTAGGACGGTGCAAAGTAGCAGGGTTAGGCACTCGGAAACAGACCACACAGGAGGTGGCTAACAGGAGCCCTGAGGTCTTTTGAAAGTGGCAAAATGCCCACCAAGGGGACGTGCCCGCTCTGGGGCTGGGGCCCGTCCTGTGCGCCGCTGTGCCCAGCAGGCAGAAGAGAACGTGGGAGAAAGTGTGCGGGCACCCCCAGGTGAGGTCAGCTAGAGACAAAAACTGGAGGCTGCAAATGCTCAGTCTCTGCTCTGCTCCAGCACGTAGGAAGATTAAACTCCCCCCTCCTCCCACTGTGCCCCCGCGCAGCCTGGCACAGGAGACCACGCAAGCCCTCCCTGGGAAGCGGGCGAGCCAGGAGCAGACCACGGCCTACACTGTGGGTCCGCGTGTGAGGGCTCAGCCCCAGGCTCGCCGGCAGGAGAGAGGCCCAGCTGGGTGCCCCCGCACGCGGGGCGCAGGCGGGACGGGCTTGCAGGACCTCAGGAATAAAACCCAGCAGGCGTGGCCAAGAGGCCAGAGGAGCGGATGGATGGTAACATCATAAGAGAATTCAAGAAACCACAATTATTACCCGAAGGTAGGGATGACGTGATATGGGGAAAACAAGGACATCACGTGATCAGCAGAAAAAGGGACAAAGACCAACAAGGATTCTAAAATATTCCAACTACGTCAACAGAAATGAGAACTGCACCAGAAGTGGGGGGATTGAGAGCTACTGGAAGGAAACAGGACACGCGCACAGTGAGCAGGAGAGAGAATGAGGAGTCAGAGAATAGATGAGAGAGGTTCAATATCTAATGTCTCCA